CAGGGGTGAGGGTCTGGGGGCTCCTCTCTTCCTTTGAAATCAATCCGCCCGCTGCAGCTTCCTGGTGACAGGAAAATGGGGAGCGGTCAAAGACAGCGTGGTCCCACCTCCAATATTTCTTCAGGCCGTACCCTTTCTGCCCCCTCCCCGCCTTGGGCACTTGGCACACACACTTAACCCCAGGCCCCTGATCTTTCTCGCCCTCTGTTGCTCTGAGGTTGTCATCCCTACCTTAGGTAGGGGTCCCTCAAGACTAGAGTCCAGCAGTGCAGCTTCAGTCAGCCCCGAGTCATCATCCATGCTGATGAAGATGGCCGGGGTCTCACACTCAGGACCCTCCTCCCGGAAATCAATGGCTTCCTCCGGCTGGGGAGGGCCTGGCCGGGCCGAGGAAGAGGACAACGACGAGGAGGACGAGGAGGGGGCTCCCACTCCCCCAGGCTTCAGCTTCTGTTCCTCCTCCAGCTGCCGCTTTAAGGCCTTCTCCTGGGCCAGCCGCAGGCCGATGAGGTCTTGAGGGGGGCGGGGGGCCGGGGGCGGTGCCAGGGCCAGGGGCTCTAAGTCATCCTGGGGGTGGGGAGGGATACACAAAAGCTCAGGGACGGGTGAGACCTAGGACCTAGGCTGCTCTCAAGAGGTTGGTGGGAAAGAAGACAGAAAGCATCCTAAGGCAGACAGCAGACTGGGTATAGGGAGTAAGGGGCAGCTGTCTCCCCACCCCCAGTTCCTTTCAGTAGAAGCCTCGGCAGAGAGATGGCTGGAGTGGGTAGGAGGGGTCGGGGCCTTTCTGGCTTGGGGAGGGGGCTGCAGGCCCTCACCTCTTCCAGGGGCCCGGCAGGTGCTTCCTTAGTCTCTGGCTCTTGCTTGCCGCTGGCCTCCAGGATGGTCATGATGGAGTTGGGGATGTGTGCTTGCTAGGGGAAGAGCAGGATGGGGGCGCTGTGGACAGCTCTGACCCAGAGACACCCCACCTCACCCAGATCCTTGGTGTCCTTGACCCTCCAGAGGCCCAGACCTTCATGGCAGTGCAGGGCTCCCCTCTGCCCATCCCACCCAGTCCCCCAGGGTTGGACCCATGGGGCCACCCACCCCGCACCCTGGGGTACCTGGTGGGGGGTGAAGGAACGGACGTGGGCCAGCAGGGGCTCCCGGAGCTCCGGGCACTTGTCAAAGACGGCACCCAGCTGCTGGGGTGGGAGCTGCAGGATGACCTGGAAGCTCTGGGGCTTGGTGCGTTGACAGCACTTGATGAAGCCCTCCCACACCTTGGGATACTTCCACACCTGGACCAGGCAGGGAGGAAGCTGTCATCAAGGGGCCTGCAGGCAGCCAGCCACTCCAGAAACTGGGAGAAAGGCCTTGCCAAGATGGCAACGCCTCATTTCTTTCATAGCAGCCTCTAGAGGGCGACATTAGCCCTGCAAAACCTACGAGGCCCAGGTGTGGGGACTTGTCCAGGGTCACACAGGTACGGCACCAAGGGGCAGAACCAACATCTGAACCCAGGTCTGTCTGAATCTGCACTTAGCCTCTAAGCCAGATATTGCAAAGTAGCAACCTGTGGCCTAAATCCAGTCTGAAGGCTTGTGCATGGGGTTTGTTTTTTGTTTCATCATGGTATTTCTAAAAACAATTTCTAGCTTCGCCTGAAAAACGGAACCATCTTTCAGCTCTAGTATGCATCCTGGTTGGTTGCACAATGGTGAGGGGCAAGGGGCGGCCATACCTCTCCTGGGATGTGCACCCCCTGAAGCCTTCTGCTTGCTCCTACCACCCAACAGCCCTCACTCATCACATTGCCACCCTATACCTGTCTGACTCAGTGACCCCTAAAAGGCTGTATTGTCTCAGCAGAGGGCAGGGCAAAGGAGCTGGCTGTCTTGGTAGAGCTTATTCTCTGCATCATGGCTCCCTTGGGGTAGGGGCCAAGCAGGCTGGAAAAGCCTGGGGTTTTGCCTCAAGTCTGTCTGTAGTATGTCCTGCTGCAGTCCCCTGCTTGGGAGACTGGGGTAGTCAGGGGTGGGTTACCTGCTTCATGATGAGGCGGGAAAGGATGTTCATGACGAAGCCCCCCAGGCGGGGGTACATGGTCAGGGATTGGATGACGGTCCTCATGAGCAGCATGGGCAGGGGACTCTGCTCCATCAGCTGCTGCATCACCACGGCCAGCACCTCCGATGTGTACACGTTCCGCTCCGCAAAGCACAGGTTGGTGGCTGCGAGGAGGCGGAGAGTGGGCCTGTCCCCTTTGCCCAGCTGCCCCCTGGGAAGTGGGAGCCCCACCCCTTAGAGAACCTCAGCCCCATTAATTGCCCGTGTGAGGGGAGACCCAGCCCTGACTTCCTGAAGCTCCAGGCAAGACAGAAGACTTCCCCACCCAGCAGAAGGTCTCCTTCTAAGGGGACACTGTGGCCTGGTCCTTGGAAAGCCTGGGAGCTGGGTCTAAGGGAAAAGACACTTCCATCTCTTAGAAGCCCCACTGGGCAGAGTGGGAAGACTTTGGCCCTCTCTGTTTGGGGACAACCCCCAGAAAGGGTGAGGTGAGAGATATATTGCCAACCCCTGGGGACCTATTCTGGCTTGATTGGTGTGGCATGGCACCTCCACCCCTACTGGAGAGGGAAACAACTTTAACTTCCATAAGTAACCCCATAGGAGACAGAAGAGATGGTCTCCACCAGCAGGCTGGTCAAGAGATTGCCCACTCTCAACCCAGTGCATAAGGGCTTGCGCTGGTGCTCAGGTGTTACCAGGTGTAGGATTACGTGGAGGGCACGGTCCACAGAGTAACGAGAGAGGGGCGAGAGGAGGATGTCTGGGCATACGATGAGCTCCCCAGCTCAGCACCCAGTGCCAGAAAGGGCCCAAGGAGTGCTGGTAACAACACAAGCACCCAGGAAGGCAGGCAGACCAGGGAAGGCCCTGGGGTCTGTTCCCTCAGGAGTGGGTTGTGGTACCCCAAAATCAGTGGTGCTCGGATCCACTGTGTTA